AAATTATTTAACAAGGGCTTGGGTGGTAAAACGTTCAAAAGACGGAGCCGGCATGCAAATATCGGCCAACTGCATTAATGGAAACAACGAATTGGTTTATTTGTTTGTTTTTGTGTGTTCGAAATTGTTCATATGTATGTTGACGAATTTCAAAATCGGTTGATCATTTTTATAGAAAAAAGAAGGAAATATAAAAAACCAAATTATTATTTGTAAATATGTAAATCATAAACTTTTTTCAACAAAAAATATAAGTTTTTAGCGGGCTTTCAATAGTTTTAATGCGGATTAGTGTTTTTGTTGTTGTTTTGATTAGGCGTAGATTTTCAGTACTTTTAGAAAGCATTTTTTTAACTTTGATTAAACGGTTTAGTAAGGAAGCAGATGATTTATATGATTTTGTTATCTATTTAGCTTTTGTTACAGCTATTTGTATTATCATTATTATGATTAAAAAAATTTAAGAGGATTAGAAAAATTAAGGCATTTATTTTGGAATAATCTTCCTGATATTTCTGCTTTTGACTTTGTCACAAAAGCAACTCTGCAAAGGATTAGTGAGTATATTAAACAACCACGGTTTTAAGACTTTCTTTTCTATAGCAACGAACAAAATAAAAGTGTCTCTTATCATCGCTGTCGTAAAACAATGAGAGGGAGGGAAAGAGAGAAAAAGGGGGGAGAGAGAGAGAGAGAGAGATAAAGGGAGAGAAAAAGGGGGGAGAGAGAGAGAGAAATAAAGGGAGAGAAAAAGGGAGAGAGAGAAAAAGGGAGAAAGAGAAAGAGAAAGAGAGAGAGAGAGAGATAGAAATAGAGATAGAGAGAAAGAGAGAGAATGAGAAAAGGAGAGAGAATGAGAAAGGGAGAGAGAAAGAAAAAGGGAGAGAGAGGTAGAAAGGGGGAGAGAGAAAAAGGGAGAGAGAGAGGGAGAGAAGAGATAGAGAGGGAGAGAAGAGATAGAGAGGGAGAGAAGAGAGAGAGAGGGAGAGAAGAGAGAGAGAGAGAGCGAGAGAAGAGAGGGAGAGAAGAGAAGAGAGCGAGAGAAGAGAGAGAGAGGGAGAGAAGAGAAGAGAAGAGAGGCAAAGGGTGAGAGAGAGGCAAAGGGTGAGAGAGAGACAAAGGCAGAGAGAGAGTGGGGAGAGAGAGAGGGGAGAGAGAGAGGGGAGAGATAGAAAGAGAGAGAGAGAAAGGGAGAGAGAGAGAAAGGGAGAGAGAGAGAAAGGGAGAGAGAGAGAAAGGGAGAGAGAGAGAAAGGGAGAGAGAGAGAAAGGGAGAGAGAAAGAAAGGGAGAGAGAAAGAAAGGGAGAGAGAGAGAAAGGGAGAGAGAAAAAGGGAGAGAGTGGGGAAAGGGAAAGAGATAGAAAGATAAAGGGAGAGCGATAGAAAGATAAAGAGAGAGAAAGAAAGATAAATAAAGGAAGAGAGAGAGAGAGAGAGAGATAAAGAGAGAGAGAAAGATTAAGAGAGAAATAAGGAAAGATAAAAACACAGAGAGAGAAGGAAAGATAAAGAGAGAGAGAGAGCGGGAGTTTTATCCTGTGCACGTTCAAGCAAAACGTTTTAAAGGCTTAACCAAGCTTGGCACAGAGAGAGCTTTTACTCTGCACGCGAGTACGCCAGTTATAATTTAAATATATCTCACGACCAAAGCTTTTTAAAACATTCTATAAATCTTATGCGGGCATAACGCCCTCTCTGATCGTCCCTGCTCTAAACAAAGTGTATAAAAAGCTAAAGAAAAGCACTACAAGCCGGTAACCCCTAACAGTTATGAACAGAGGGAGCTTTTACTAAATAACTACCAATCAGTGATGCTCAGATAGAGCTTTTTCCATAAAAAATCTACGCAGGGCTTTAAGGATTTCCGCCCGTGGGTACTCTTTTGAGCATCACTGCTATAAATAGAAAACGTATATTTTTCTTATTCTTATAGGAAGTTTTAAGAAGTTCAGCTACGGAGCAACGTTGACTTGATTTTGTCCTTACAAACCAGTTTACTTTTTGCAGTCGCAATGTGTATTAGCCGCTCACTACTCCAGGTTCGGTAATAATGCTTACTCGAGCGGCAAATGGCTCTCATCCCAGAAAAAGATTTTGCTCGAAATGGGCGAAATTGCAACCACAGACATGTCACACCTGTATTTCGCGAGAATAGTTTAATAAATATGACGCGTTGTTCGGTCATAAAACGTACCAAATTGTAAAATGGTGGGTTGATAGAAACATTTGATAAATATCAAAGGGCTTTACTTTCATAAAAACAGCCTAGATCACACTTTACTTGTATTCTTCTAACCTATGACCTAAAGCAAAAAGCGAGTGGATAGCAAAAACTATTTTTCCATAAAAAAAATCTGGTAAGTAGATTTTGATCATCCTCCGTCATACATTATACATATATGTACATAACTCACTATTGTTCTAAACTCATTTTCACTAAAGCAGAGTTGCATTTGTTACCGACCCTACAGTGTTCTAAATGGCACATAAATGACAAGTATAAAAAATTAAGTGCTGTTAATTACTAATCTTATATACATACACTTCCATGTACAAACACAATAAACTATCAATAAACAAAAAAAATAAAAATAATAAGTAAGTATATAACAAACAAGAAATAAGTACATATATTCACAAGCTTTTTTGCATACTGATTCAGATATGAAACTGGGTTCATAGTGTATATTAAATGCAAGCAAAACGGAAAACAAAGAGAGCATAACATTGAAATATATACGTAAATAACTGCGGTTATGAAATCTACTTCCGCCTAGAAGGATTTGGTCTATAAATGAGTTTAAACCGATTTTAAGAGTATTCCACAGGGTGAACCATATTAAACAATCGCATTGCTAAACAATACTTGGAGCTGTAATAACTTATGCTTTTCCTTTTGAGTTTAAACGATTTCAACGCTTATCGTTATCGAGGCAAAGGTATATTCTATGTACAGATCGGTGTATAACATATTCTTATCATTTAATTTTCAATAATGTGGTTCCTGACTCATGTTCTCCACATAAATAGATGGTATAGATTTGAATATTCACTACAATAAATACAATCTGTAAAGCTCCACTTGAGAGTTTCTAATTACGATAAAATTTGAAAAGGTTTCATGTAGAGAATTTTCGAGTAAATTAAGATTCTTTTTTGTGATCATAAACGAAAACGAAATTACAATCGTACAAAACAAATGCCAATTAAAGAGAGCGGGATATATATGTACATCGCACACCGTCTTCAAAAGAGTCACAACTCAAAATAATACGTTCGTCAGAAAATGCGAAAAACCAATTTCGTAGCACATGCTAATCATATGGGCAAGTGAGACTTTACCTTAGGTTTATAACGAAAATTTGCTCTGGCTTTTGCTGAAAGGTAAATAAAAGCTCTGTACATATTTCAAAAATGCCAAATTTTGAGTTGTGACTCTTTTGAAGACGGTGTGCGACATATGTAAATGTATCGGAATAATTACTGTTCAACTTGATAATAATGTTCCAAACAGTGTCATTAAAAGGAGATCTTATGCTGGAAATACTGTACATTTTCTTAATGCCGCTTTTGGTGCCCTTATGTTGGTTCACACACTGCTGTTCTTTCCTTTTTAATTTGTGCTTTCTGGCTTTTATATCAATTCAAAATGGAACCATGATAAAGTTAACGCCGAATCAGTCAAGAAAGAAGACATGGAAATGCACACGGTAAATTAGTTGTTTCTTTTACTTTAAGAAAAATTTTTATTTTCCGATGCACTTGCTTAATACGGTACACCTTATTCAGCTGCATAAATAATCGAATATTAAATTTTTCACTTGCATAACTTTATCATTTCTAACTACATATCGATACTTGAGTGGAATATCGACCTATCTCGGCAGTCAGTTCGAAAACGCTCTATCTCAGAAAACTTTTAAAGAGCGCCCTACTTCAGAATTTGATTGAAAAACGCCGCATCTCACCTGCCGATTCAAAAACGCCCCATCTTAGCACATTTTCAATGTATCTTCTGCTGAGATAGGGCATTTTTGAACCTAATTCTGAGAGAGGGTGTTTCGAACTGGCTGCCGAGATAGGTCGATCTTTCACTCTAGAACACGGTATGTTTCTCCTACGGGATTCTTTTGAGTAGACTCTTAAGTACATAAGTACGCATGTATGGCTGTATGTTTTAAAATAACTTTAATACTTTCGACGACCTAACTAATCTCAAAGTGACCTCATCTACAAAACACGTTCTCTTACCTTTCTGCCGAATTAATTGCATTCATATTGTATATTGACTGATACTACCTACATTTTTCTCAAATAATAGTTATACTAACTATATATCTATTTATACCTTATCCGATAGGGTTTTGCACCCAGCTAACTCCGTAAACCTCAACTAAACTAATTTAAAATTATTTAAGAAGTTAATTAAGTAGCTTTTGCAAAGATGTGCTGTAGTAATTTGTTGTTGCTGGTGTGCATATGCGATTGATAATTGTAAGTATGTATTGTACATATGTATGTATGTATGTATACGAGTATGATAATTGTATGTTGTGATATTATTGCGCGCATTTCCAGAAAGAAAGCCTACATTTCATTATATGTATTAACTTTATTATTAGAGCTTAATCGTTATTATATTATCCAAACGCGTCTACGCTTAACTATGTGACGTTTTAAAATGTTCTTTGCTGTTTGTTAATGTTTATATTTATGTAAAATGTATACATACATATGTAAGTATGTACGCATGTATGTATATATAAATTTTTGCATTTTCTGTTCTTCTACGACTAAGAATAAATTTTGTATTTCTTTTGGTAAAAAAACACAAAGCTATAGTTGTAAAAAAAAACATAAATATATAACGGTAACAAAAAACATAATAAAAAATTATATTGCAAATTCGATTAATCGTCAATGAATGAATTAATTAATTATTAAAATAGTAAAAGTTGATAAGAAGAGTATGAAAAATGTTTATCTAGCAAACAACCCACCGCTATGATCTGCGTATTCCGTCAGCAAAGGATTGCCAGCGAGTGCAGCATAATTCGCATAATCGCCGTATGGTGCGAATATCATGCCATGTGCAGGATTCTCGAAGGCAGCGGGCGCAGCTTGGCCGGACAGTATGCTCGCCGCTGTCGTGGGCACGGTCATGCGTTGCGAAAGTATCAACGGAGCACCCAGGGTGGTGGCTTGTGGGGCGCGTATCTGTTGTGCCAAGCCAGGTAGTGCTGGCGCAAGTAGGCGACTCTCAGCCGATGCAGCAATCACACGGCGCCATTCCTCCTCGCAGGCTGCAGTTGTCAATGGAAGAGTGAACGAGAAAAAACAGAAAAAATATAAAAAATTTAGATGGTAAGGAAAATAAGTATTTTTTTTTTAATAAAATAAATATGTAAGCAATTTTACTCATAGAATTATAAATAATTAACTACTATTAATATTTCAATACTTATTGAAATACACGAATGCATAGTAACGATAGACGACCTACTTAGAAACCGGAGAGACGCATTTTTTTCGTCCCTGACCACACAAAGTACTACGTCTCCAAAATGACTCCTACTTAGTAGCATCTTTTCTACCTCATTGGATTGGGTGGGGTGATTGGAGGAAGGAAGCAGAGAGCCAAAGAGCTACTTGCACTTGACACCCCGCAAGTCTCGCTGTTGGTGGGTGTTCTGACAGTATAGGAATTCTACCTGATCTCTGCAGCCAAGGAAAAGGTTCAAATACGGACAACCACAATAACCTAACCTAATGGGCTAAATATTTCGCGCTGGGAAACTACAGCTCCACGATTTGACATGGTCCCAATTGCTATTTGCTATGGATCAATTTACTGTCAATCAATTATTACCAGAGTAATTCCAATTATCAATTTATTCTACCCAAATGGTAAATCTTCAGTGTAAAGGGAATAGCCAAATTTGGCGAATTCGGTGACTTGAGCAGCAGCGTAAATACTCAGGGGTATGCCATCCCGATCAATGGCTGTTCTGGCCTGAAGTTGAGGAACTTGAACTATATGAAATCTTGTTTCAGTCAGATAGCGTTTCAAAAACAAGTCAAATAGTATACGTAATATCGAGATTCGGCTATGTGACTTACGAAGAATACATTTTTATGGATCTACACTGAGGGAAATAATGCATAGTAAAAATGAATACTTTATATTTGATTATCGTTTAAAAATGTTCGTATTTAAAAATAATATTTTCATACAAAATNTTCGACAGGAAGGCGGAAATATTGAGGAAAGTCATGGAAAATGCGACGAAACGGGCACTAATGTGTATCAACCAATCCGCAGGGCCTGGGTTCAAGCCAGGTTCAACTCAACATCAAAAATAAAATAAATATAATAATGTAAAAAAAATATTTTTAAAAACAAGCTTTTATTTAACATGTACAATCAAAGAAGTAAAATAAATTAGTGTAACAAAAGATTTTTTAGCAAGAAAATTTTGTCAAAACTGCACTAAAATTAATCAAATAAAATCAGTTAAGGTCTCGTTAAAGTTACTAAAAGCCATTTAGTGAAAGGAGTTATTCAAACTCTAATGAAAATTACTAATAATTTGTACTAATTTACTTCATTATTAAAAAAGCTTGTTGGCGAATTCAGCGAACATGCATAATTGGTTAGGTATTTATATGTATATATGCAGATATTTAAATGCCGGTTTGCTATTCGCGCGGCAAACTTTTTTAAAAACGAAGTAAATTAGTACAAATTATTAGTAATTTTCATTAGAGTTTGAATAACTCCTTTCACTAAATGGCTTTTAGTAACTTTAACGAGACCTTAACTTATTTTATTTTATTCTTTTTAGCGCAGTTGTGACAAATTTTTCTTGCTAAAAAATCTTTTATTGCACTACTTTATTTTATTCCTTTGATTGTACATGTTAAATAAAAGCTTGTTTTTAAAAATATTTTTTTTACATTATTATATTTATTTTATTTTTGATGTTGAGTTGAACCTGGCTTGAACCCAGGCCCTGCGGATTGGTTGATACACATTAGTGCCCGTTTCGTCGCATTTTCCATGACTTTCCTCAATATTTCCGCCTTCCTGTCGAATAGTCTCCTTGTTGGCATAAACCGGCGACTTCGAGCAGCCCCAAGAGAAATAAGTGATTCAGAAGAAGGGTGGTGATTAATTTTGCGCCACATTGTGTTTAGAAGATACACATTTACCATCTAGCCCCAACTTGTCGTAGTGATCCCGAATAGAGCAAAACACATGATGAAAAACGATCCTTTAGTATATCTGCATTTATTCAGCCACTGGTATGCTATTCTAGATATAAACATTTTTATCAACGAATCCAAATTATTTGCGAAAACCATTCCAGGGGAAATCGTATCGAAGTTTCTATCTATGCATTGGTCTTATGGCCAGACCTACCCTACCACATATGTACTGGCGACGCTACTATCAACCAAACCAAACGTACCAAGGCAGTGATAAGCAGCGTTGTGCGAATTTACGCACTTATATAAATATGCGAAGTTCTATGTATCTACGTAAGGCATTTACCTTTATAATGTAATAATAATAAAGCCTATTTAGTTAACATTATTTTATTTATGGTGCTTTAGAAGGGTAATAGCGGTCTTAACGGTTTTTTTTCAAAGGTTATATTTTACAATTATGTGTGTATTTGGGCATCAGTACCAGTAGTAATTGTTATTCAAAGTTTTTTAATTTAAAAAAAAATATGTATGTTTGTATATTAATAAAAGAATCAATTAATAATCGGGAGAGTGAGTGTAACATACCTGGAATAGCATTTTTCGCAGACGTATCCCTATAAGTGCCATTAATTATAGCTAATTCCATGAGTTGACGTTTTTTAAGTTCATCTTCGCCTTCAGCTTGCTGTTAGTACAAACATTAATGTAGTCGTGAATTTTAATACACAAAAGAAAATTATTAGATAAATTCAGTATTAAAAATTTGTAATTTTGACATGTTTGGTTGATTTCGTGTTTTAACGGGCTGGTTATGCAATTTGTAAATATTATGTGTGGTATGTAAACATGATATGCTTATGTATACAAAAACAATTATTTTGATTAATCAGATTATGGATAAAAGAGCACGCGCACGCAATTGGAGAATCACAAAAACCATGCCACAATATCACATACATATGCCTATTTTCTGCTTCCTTTGTGGCGTTGGCTATGACGATTAAAGCATGTCAGTTAGCTTCTCCCCCGTGCCAACTGAGCCAAAAGGAAGATCAAGTGAAGACTAGTCCTCCTCCATCTTTCCTTCATAGAGGCCATTCCTATTACCTGCTACGACCGGCGTGGGCATATGTATGCAAATACATATGTACAAACAAGTGTATGTAAAAATTCCAAGTTTCGGCTACAAATCGAAAACTAGTTCTAAAAATTCTGTAAAACTGTTTAGGTAATTCAGCTGATTTGTAATTATTCTAATTAGAATGCCAAGATTATTGGGTTTATGAAGAAATCCGTATTGGAGAGATGAAGTAATTAAAAAAAAAACACTAATCGGTATAAGTAGTCACGTGATAAACAAGATGGCATAAGTTTTAACTTGTCTTGTGAATACTGTGAATCAATCAAGTCAAGATATGACTTCTTGTGAACCACCCAAGTATTTCGACGACGTTTTTGCAGTCTCATTCTCGGATGCATATTCTAGTACGTAAGTAGAATATGCGGAATGGAGTAAACCGACACCTATTAGAGCGTCATTTTAAATTCGCTAGTTCGCTGCAAACAAGGCTCACAAAGAAGAAATAGTCTAAAGTAGGGATGACACGATTTGAACATTTGTACAGGTTTGTACATTTTGGCAGTGACCGAGTGGTGCTTAGAAATTTGTATCGAGAATGAGTTCCGCTAAATATAAAACCCCACCTGTGTGATCCCGGCTTAAGTAGGACACTTAAATTCCAAATTTTGGAACTATTTTCTTTTTGCTTTACAGATACTTATGGGCATCTAAACATACATATGTGCTAATATAGCTAGCAGTTTCTGCAATTCTCTTTGTTATAATATTAAAACATTATTGAAGTTATTTTCTGATTTTATTTAATTGTAGCCACGCGTATGTATAAGTATGTAAATCATTAATGGGATTTGGTTTTAATAAATATGTATATAGAAAAGTGGAAAGTTTTCAGTAAACGACAAAATTATTTTACTTGCTCGTAAATATTTCAACTCAACAACTTTTCAGCTGCGCGTATTTCACATTCCGCATAAGACGTTATACTCACCGGTACGAGAAGCTTTTGAACTTCGCCGACCGCCTGCGCTAATTTGACTTTGGCACGATTCTCTGTATCCTCCACAGTGATCAATACATGCAGATCATCGGACAAGTGCTCCCAGTTAGGTTTGCCACGATTTGCATCCTCCTGGAATAAAAATTAATTAATTGATGAATATTTATTTTAATTCAGGATATTTTCATCTGCAGAATTACGTGGCTCAAAGCCACTGGATATTTTTTTTTCTGCATGTGCCTGAATTTATTCAAGTAAATTTTGAACACAAAAATAAGAGTGAATCCAAGATTCTTGGTTTGCTTACTTTCGGCACTTTCGTTGTTAATCTATTTCCTCCTAAAACTAAGTCTGTATATGAATTTGCAATACATATTTTAGTATGTGTTTGTCAATACTGTATATAAACAAATGTCCAACAAAATAGCGTTCATAATTGAAATTATATACAGTTGTGTACAACTAATTAAGCCAGCGACATTTTGGCCCGTTTTGGCACTTTTTCTTTAATAGCCGTTTTCGTTGTTCGTACTAACTCAAAACATAATAGAATTCAGTTAAATTTTCGGAGGTTACGCGTTGCATACATATGTACGTATTAGGGATGTTAATTTTTCGGCTTTTTCCAATCCCGAGATTTTCGGTATGACGTTGTCACAATCCCGGGATTAGTCCCGGGATTTAGATATTCATTACTTTTCAACAACTTGAATCAAAAAAATTCCTTCTATATTGTTTGAGAAGCTCTCCTACCATGAAGTAAATAATAAATAAATGGGTTTGAAACCTATTTTTTATTTAAAGTGGCGTTTTTTACTTTTTTTTCTGACCGCAGGATTTATTTTTAAGGACTTTTTAATTGCAAAGATATGATTAATTCCCAAAATTATTAAAAAAAATTCACAAATAAGAATAAAAATATGGCCCACAAATGCAATAAGAAATTTCTTTAGAATTTAAAAAATTTTAATTTTTTGGATTCACAAGGACGAATAGGTAATTTTTAAGCTGACTAAGTTAGAAGAACGAGATTCGAGGAGTTTATATAAGCCTTAGCATGTAATTTTTTCAAAAAGATGTAACAAAACAAAATATTTCGAAAATTCAAGGATACAATTTTTAAATGACATTTTCAATATTTACCAGCCCTTCTGCGCCAGAGACTTGAATCTGTTTAAATTCTACAGGCTTTCCTCATTAATTTTATGCCCATACTTCTTCTCTAACTTAGGGTTTACACCGGACAATACTGTCATGACAATAGCAATACATGCACACTATTCCATTGCAACAATTTTGACAACTAATACGTATATCTTCATTGTCATGACAGTATTGTCCGGTGTAAACCCTAAGTAAGCATATTTCTCTGAATTTTCTAAATCATTTTTGAATTACTGGCCGTGAAATTTTTAATCAGCCATAACTTCGAAACTATAAGTCACATGAACTTGAAATTTGGTATGCAGTCATATATATGGCTTACAGTAGAGTATATATAAATGACTTTGTAAAAGTGGGCGTGGCACATTCCATAGGCGTGAAATTTGTTATCAATCATAACTTCGGAGCCATAAGTCACATGAACTTGAAATTTGGTATACAGTGATATATATGGTAGGTGCTTATAGTATGGTATAAATAAATGAGATTGTAGAAGTAGGCGTGGCACATCCAATAGGCGTGGAATATTTTATCAGCTATAAATCCGAAACTATAAGTCATATGAACTTGAAATTTGTTATTCAGTGATACATATGGTAGGTGCTTATAGTAGGGTATATATGAATGAGGTTGTAAAAGTGGGCGTAGCATATCCCATAGGAATATTTTATCAGCTATAACTCCGGAACTATAAGCTACATGAACTTGAAATTTGGTATGCAGATATAACTATGGTAGGTGCTTACAGTAAAGTATATATAAAGGGGTTTGTAAAAGGGGCGTGGCACATCCCTTAGGGGTGGAAATTTTTATCAGCTACAATTTCACAACCATCAGTCACATTAAATTGAAATTAGGTATGCAGACATATCTGCGGTAGGTGCCTACAGTAGGCTATATATACATGAGTTTGAAAAAAGGGCGTGGCACATCCCATAGGCATGGACCCTTTCNTCCATTGCAACAATTTTGACAACTAATACGTATATCTTCATTGTCATGACAGTATTGTCCGGTGTAAACCCTAAGTAAGCATATTTCTCTGAATTTTCTAAATCATTTTTGAATTACTGGCCGTGAAATTTTTAATCAGCCATAACTTCGAAACTATAAGTCACATGAACTTGAAATTTGGTATGCAGTCATATATATGGCTTACAGTAGAGTATATATAAATGACTTTGTAAAAGTGGGCGTGGCACATTCCATAGGCGTGAAATTTGTTATCAATCATAACTTCGGAGCCATAAGTCACATGAACTTGAAATTTGGTATACAGTGATATATATGGTAGGTGCTTATAGTATGGTATAAATAAATGAGATTGTAGAAGTAGGCGTGGCACATCCAATAGGCGTGGAATATTTTATCAGCTATAAATCCGAAACTATAAGTCATATGAACTTGAAATTTGTTATTCAGTGATACATATGGTAGGTGCTTATAGTAGGGTATATATGAATGAGGTTGTAAAAGTGGGCGTAGCATATCCCATAGGAATATTTTATCAGCTATAACTCCGGAACTATAAGCTACATGAACTTGAAATTTGGTATGCAGATATAACTATGGTAGGTGCTTACAGTAAAGTATATATAAAGGGGTTTGTAAAAGGGGCGTGGCACATCCCTTAGGGGTGGAAATTTTTATCAGCTACAATTTCACAACCATCAGTCACATTAAATTGAAATTAGGTATGCAGACATATCTGCGGTAGGTGCCTACAGTAGGCTATATATACATGAGTTTGAAAAAAGGGCGTGGCACATCCCATAGGCATGGACCCTTTCATCAGCTATAACTTGGGAACCATAAGTCCCAAGAACTTGAAATTTGGTGTGCAGGCATATCTTTAAGTAAGGCATATATAACTGAGTGGAACATCCCATAGGCGTGGAAAATTCGGAATCATATGTCACGTGAAATTGAAATTTGGTACGCAGACGTATCTATAGTAGGTTCTTATAGTAGGTTATATATAAGTGAGTTTGTAAAAGGGGGAGCGGCACGTCCCATGGACCTGGAATGTTTTATCAGCTATAACTCCGGAGCTATAAGTCGCTTGAACTTGAAATTTCGTACGCAGCTATTTTAATGGTATGAACTTATATTAGGGTATATATAAATCAGTTCGGAAAAGAGTGCATCCAATAGGCATGTAATTTTTTTTCAACCATAACTTCGGAACTATAAGTCCCACTAACTTGAAATTTAGTATGCAGATATATCAATGGTAGGTGCTTATATATAAATGGGTTTGTAAAAGGGGGCGTGGCACATCCCATATGCGTGGAAAATTTTGTCAGCTATAACTTCAAAACCATAAGTCAAATGAAATTGAAATTTGGTGCGCAAACGCATACTCATGAAGATAAATTGTGGTTATCGGAAAGGGAGGCGTGGCACTTCCCATACACATCGAGTTTTTCATACTGCATATCTCTGAATGTGTTCATGGAAGAGTACTGGAACTTGGTATGTACAAGATAGTTGGGGCTATTGGAAAAAGGGACGTGGCACCTCCCATGGTAAATTACTCGAAAATGGTATAGAGATATATGAAATCAATCCCATGCTCTTAGAGAAAGTTGGGGTTATTTGAAAAGGGGACGTGACGCCTTTCAAACGCACTGAAACTATTACGTATCTTTGTATGCATTACAGTTTTGCTAAGTTATTTAAGACGGCAAATATGTCTTCTGACAACCACCAAACCGTAATATTAGAAGACAAATGCGTCACTAAAAATCATGAACGTGAACTCTTGGTGAAAATGTTGGACCAAAATGTTTCAATACACGGTTAAAAATTTCGGTTTTAATTTTAAACTTTTTGGACTACATATATGACCAAACTACATAAATTCAGTTTCAAATACAAACCTTCTAAATTAAAAAAAGAGGGCACATATGGTGGGTTTAGAATTTAAACAGTTCGGTTTAAATTTTAAACCCAAACATTTTCATAATTAAAAATACAAAAAATAAAAATAAAATTTCATGCTCCGTCTGATGGGGATTGAACCCGGACAGCTTTAGTAGCAAGCAATTGTATCAAGCAGCTTTGCTTTTCATATATTGAGTTTGAATCAACACCACATTTCGCTGTGTGCAAACATTTTCTATTTCGGTTTACATTTTAAACCAAATTTTCTATATATTAAACCTAGAAACTAGAATTAAAACATTTTGGTTTGATTTTTAAACCACGAACTTTTTGGACTAAAGTTTAAGCCACAATATATTAAAAATTGCTTAAAACTATTGACTGGTTTAAAAAATAGCCTAAAAAAGATTAAAAAAGGCAGTAGTCCGAGCGCGGTTTAAAAATTAAACCCAAATTTTTGACCGTGTACAAAAATTTTATTTTGGGCGGGACGAAGTTCGCCGGGTCTGCTAGTTTTATATCAAAATAATGAACATTAAACAAATAAAAGATAAATGTCAAAACTGTTCAAAATGTTGACGTGCTATCGTTTTGTCGCGGGCTGTACATTAATGGGTTGCTGTAGTGTCATGGACTATTTTTTGAAGAGGAAGAGCATTGCTCGAACGCGGCCTCAATCTGGCGACATTTAAGGGATAATCACAATCCTCTTAAGCTGTCACCTGCACTGTAAGCTAAAGTTAATGTTTTGAAGGTTTTTCATTTATTATCTTTTTGTGTTCCAACTTCCAAAAGAAGCTGTAGAGGCATTCCAAGCTATTTCAACGAAAATTATGATTTTTTTTTAGATTTTGATACAAACTGAGTATAATGTAAAAATACCTCTAAGATATGGCATATGGCACGTGGTCCATTTTAACGTCAACAGCATTTTGCTAGTCTAATCGACAACCTGTTCGATTTTATTACAACATACTTAGTTATTTATTTTTATTTCGTTTTAACCACTTAAGCATGCACTTACGACCATAAATGTGCCATTTAAGTTATTTACACATACACATATATTACATATTCACATA